TTATTTTGTGGCGTAGAATTTTAACATCACCAATTCCCCTTTCTTTCCATTCACTGTCAACAAAACGGAACAATTTAGCCCGATGTTCATACAGCACATCCTCTTCTTCTTCTCCAGTTACCACATCAACCTAAAAAATGCATATACCATTTTAGTAAACAATAAAGAACAATAAAATTAAATTGGTTTGTTTGTGTTTGTGTAACTGTACATTTTTAAATAATTTAATGTGACTTACCTTATCTGGTAGAGGTATAACTGGTGCAAAATATGCATTATTTTCTTCCTCAGTATAATCGTCATCACCGTCATCATTAACATCTTGTTTTGTAGGGAGTAAATTTACAATTTTAGATTTATTGGCATTATCCGGATCTTTTTCTTCAACTAACAAATTTGATTTATTATCACTTATCTCTCCGCATGCTATAGGCATTTGGGGATTTTCCATGGAACTGGATTTTAGTGTAAATGAAAAGGTAGGTTTGCCTAAAGATGATGTGCCTGAATTGGTAGACGTACTATTTTGAGTTGTGAAATTAAATGATTTTACGTCACCAACTGTTGCGCCCATATCACTCGTTCCATTTGTGCCTGCTGTCGTCGCTAAATTTCCAAATGTAAACGGTGATCCGGTAGGTTTGGCTGTAGATGTATCATTTGTTGATACTCCAAAACCAAAAGTGAATTTTTGTGTTGGATTTGATAAAGCTAATATATTTTTAGTTGTTTCTTTTTTAGAAATAGTATTATCTTTTGGCTCTTCACATGCTGTACAATAATCGCAACCAGCTTGATTGCTTAAATAGCAACTTTGACAAGTCCAAGCACCTGCTTTGGGTTTAAATTGATCACCAAAACCAATTTTCGAAGAAGAGTTTAGTGAACTATTTGAATCATGTGTGACACCCGAATCAGACAAGTTAGCATTTAAAGATGTAACCGAAGCCGTAGATGCTTGCGATGCATTTAAAATGGAATTCCCACTGGATATGGATGTGTTATTGTTTTCATTGGAACCGGCTGCTGCAAAACCAAAACTAAATGTACCACTAGGTACGGTTGTCGCAAGCGGGTTTATTGTCTTTTTAGGCACAGTACTATCTTTAGGCGCTTCACATGCTATGCAGTAGATTGCATCACTGATGTTATTTGTATAACAACCCTCACAAGTCCACGAACCAGCTTTTGGCTTAAATGCGTCTCCGAAACCTTTGACTTCTTCTTTACCACTTGTTGTTTTGATATTTGCTTTATTTTCTTTATTCTTTTCATTTAACTCTTTGTTTTCAGTTTCATATTCTTCAGTATCATTATCATCGTCTTCAGTGGCAGTTGTCATTTTAATTTGTGCTGCTAATACAGCATCCAAAAATGATTGGCAAATGTCTGGCGTCTTAAAACGTATCGTCAATAACTCTGTTGCTAATTCATTATCTGAATAATCTTGACCAGCCCAGTTCAGTGCACTTTTTGAATTTTTAGCAAATTTGAACGAGGTATTCTTGTTAAGACGCTGATTACAACATAGCTTGTGTACTAGCTCTCTTCTCATAACTATGCGTACTTGATTCACATCATTTTTATTCTGCAAAAGCTTGATGTTGCCCAAACCTCGTTCTTTCCATTCACCAGTGTTCTTATCAAAACGCAGCAACTTCGCACGGTGTTCAAAGAGCACTAATTCGTTTTCTTCCCCTGTTGTTACTTCAATCAAATCTGGCAATGGAATGACGGGCTTAAAGTCAGCAGTGGGCACGTATTCATCTTCATTGTCTGATTGGCTTGTTCTATTTCTTGGTGTATCAGCTGTATTTATAGGGCTGTCTTTAGAACCACCAACTGAGGTATTTAAAGTTTGAGTTAGTGAAGTTCCAAATAAAGGTGAAGCAATTTGATCTGTTGTTGATTTGGCTATGTTATTGAAAAGATTTGCAAATGGAGATGGACTCGTTGTAGTAGATTTGCCAAAATTAAAAGTAGCAAAGGGCGATGAAGCTTGTGTTGTTGCTGGTTCCTTAACGGTAGGTGCAACAAAAAGCGTTTTGGAAGTTGTACTGGTTACTGTAGTTGTTGTTTTGGGATTTGATGCAGTGTTGTTGTCTTTGGGCGCTGGCTTCACTTGTTCATTTTTATTGGCTGGTGTGCTAGTAGCAAAATTATTAGTATTTTTTTGCACTCCAAAAAGTGATGTCTGCACTGGAGATTGTGCAGTTTTATTATTTTTTATTACAGCGGTCACAGCAGGTGGTTGCATATTTTCCTTGCCTTTTTTCTGTTCTGAGTCATCCTTTTGTGCATTTTTAAAAGTGTCGTAAAATTGTTTGGCTATATCGGCTGTCTTAAAACGCACAAAGAACTTTTCTGGCTTTATTTCACCCTCAGAATAATCATTTGCATACCAAACGTAAGCTTTAGGTTCAGCACTCATGGCCTTAATAACCAGCTCACTTGTGATAATATGATTAGCACATAACTTATGTACTTGCTCGCGTCGCATTATAAGATGATATGTACCATCTTTATTATGTTTCAATATTTTCATATCACCAAGACCTCGTTCCTTCCATTCTTTTTCAACGTGACGAAATAGTTTAGCACGATTACAGAAAAGTACTTTCATGTCCTCCTCACCAGTTTTGACTTCTACTTCATCTGGTAAAGGTATAATAGGTTTAAAGTCTGGACGTGGATCATATTCCACTTCTGAGTCGGCATTAAAACTTTTGTTTAGATCACTTGATATGCTTACATTCGTTTTATCATTGTCAACCGACTTATTAGCTGCTTGAGCAGCAACCAGATCTTGTTTGAAACTAAAGGTTTCTGGATTAACTGTAGTAGTCGATGGCACAGTAGCTAAACCAGTTTTGTTACCAAAAAGTGATACACCAGCGGTCATGTTACCAAAAATGGGTTGACTTGTCGTTATGTTTGCCGAAAACATAGAATTGGTTGAACTGGTTGTCTGTGGGCCCATAATATCCGGTGTCTGTACTAAGCTGGGTTTAATATGATGTGAAGGTATTGTCACACTTAAAGTTGGTTGCTGTGTCTGCACTGAAGAACTATTGGGATTTGGCAAAGGATCAGAACTTGTAATAACCACATTTGCAGGTGGCCCTTTTTCCACGGGTTGGTTATTTAAAGCCTTATTAAACTGTGGAGGCATGACTGGAGCCGATTGTGGTAGGTTTGTTGCAGGTAATGTCGTTTGTGGGGTTGTGGGTGTTGGCGGTAATAATTGTGGCAACGACAATGATGTAGGAAGTGGTAATGGCTGTGCGTTATGTGTTGCCTGATTTAATAAACTATATAAACTACTATTACGGGTATCTTGATTTGGTTGTGATAACATTGACGGATTTGGTGGCATATTAAAATTTAAATTAGTTGCCGGATCCATGAATGGCATAGGCAAAGTACTACGTTGACCTATAAATAAAAAGTATTATAATTAATATAAAAAACACGCAACTATAAAAATAATAATATAGCAATTAAATTGTAAAATGAAAATTAAAACAATAAAATAAATAAATAAAAAATATCTATTCTAGTTTATAAATAAATCATAAAAAAATAAATAATACAAATAAAACGAAATTGATAAATAAAACGAATTGATAAATAAAAAAAAATTGATATATAATAAAAAATAATAAAAAAAAAATAATAAAAAATATAGTAAAAAAAAATAATAAAAAAATAATAATAAAAATAATTAAAACAGAATAATAATAAATAATATAATAAAAAAATATAAAAAAAAATAATAAAAAAAAAATAATAAAAAAAAATAATAAAAAAAAATAATAAAAAAAAATAATAAAAAAAAATAATAAAAAAAAAATAATAAAAAAAAATTAATAAAAAAATAATAAAACAAAATAGTAAAAAAAAAACAATAAAAAAAATACATAAATAAAAAAGAATAAAATTAAAAATTTTAAAGTTAATTATTTATGCTGAAAGCTATGCTTTTTATGACTACAAAAAAACAAAGAAGCTATTTTTTTTAATTTACAAGGATTCGAATAGCAAAGAAAAGACAATCACAACAATTTAGTTAATTTATTAAAATTTGGCAGGCCATACAACGTTGTTTCGAGTATTGCCAAGTACTATTCATCAGTAGTCCTAGGAAATATTCGAATTTCTTTTTAATTAATTTATAGTATATATATAATTGTTTAGACTGCAAGTGTCAGGCTTTTAGTGTAGCTTTTAAAGTATTTATGGTTTTTAAGTCGGAAACACCGCATATGTATGCATATCTTAAGTTAGGTTAAAGTGGAGGCCTGTGTCCAAAGTCTACGTGTGCTCGAATAATGGTTCCTTGTGGTAAAACGGATATACGTTGTTCAAACGCAGACCAAAACGATTCCCGAAAAGACCACAGTATTCGCCGTACGGGCAACGCTGAAAGGCACCACTACCCCATTTAAGTAAAAATAAATCAAGTTCACAAATTTATAAACTTGATATATATATATAAAAAGAGAAGAAATTTATTTATTTGTCGAATTCAATACCCTGCTTCTTTTATGTTAAACATTTTGAATATTTTAATCTCAACATCGACAACTAAATGTTCCTATCTATGGACATAGTAATCCACCAAAATTTGAATATTCAGTTTTCAGTTAGCTAATATTTTACATTATTCGAATCACACTTTTTCTTTTGTCTTTTTGTTAAAAAAATAAAAAATATAAGATTAATTATTTGTACCTAATGCTCCACTTGCTGCTGCTGCTGCCGATACCTGTGGATTCATCATATAAGGTGACCCATAAAAATTAACTGGGAAATTTGGATTATATAGCGGTGTATTGTAAACAGCGGCCGCTGCAGCGGCAGCTGCGTTTTGAATTTGCATTGCATTTGGTGGATTGAGACGTTGGTGTTGCTGTTGAGCAAAAGGACTTGAGACATTTCCACTCATTGATAAATTACCTTGATATAAATTTGGTTGAGTCGTTAAAGATTGCTGTTGCTGTGTTGGTGTAAACAATTGATTTTGTATAGCTTCATCCAACAGATAAATATCATCCAAGACATTTGTAGCTTCATCACGAGAAGGAGAATTTGAATGTATATTTGATTTTTTCATAGTTTCTTCCATAGCACTAATTTTTTCTTTCATGTTTGCAACTTCACTGCGCATGGAAATCAACTCTGGTTTAATAGAATCAACAATTTCGTCTTTAAGAAATGTAAGTGTGCTGGCCATTTGCTTGATAAGACTATCAACTTCAGTGTCACGTTGTGAACGATTCAAAGCAGCGTTCATATTCAGTGAAAAATTGGTTAGCTCACCATGAGCATCTTCATAAGTACTTGAATTATTATGTTGCCCAATATTGGAAAATGAAACACTTTCATTCAGATACAAAGCCGAAACTTGTTGCAAACGTTTAATCTCACCATTGATAATAGCGTTCAATGGATGGTTTGGATTAATATTTGATTTTTTTAATAATTCTTCTGTCTGATTTAGGTAGTCGGTGGCACTTTCTAAATATAAACGCTTTTGTTTTTTAGGAGTTTTACTAGATTCATCCAATTTTCGATATGCTTCAGCTTGGAAATAAGTGGCAAACGGCAGTTGTACTCCTTTAATTTCTTCAATGAATTCTTCGTATTCAGCTTTTTGAAAGTAACGTGTGGCTAAATATTTAACTGCTTCTTCAGCCGCCGAATTCAATGCCCGCTCAACTTCACTTGTATGCAAATTGGCATATTTGAAATATTTACGAAAAGGTTCCAAAACACCTTTCTCATTCAATTTAAGCATTTCAAGACCATATTTATAAATTTGTTCAGCACGCACTTCAATTAGTCCTTTGTCAACTGGTTTACTTAAGTGTTCACATCGTGAAATAAGTATTTGACCAAGCTTGAAGAAAATAAGCATATCAACTTTTGGACCACTTACACCACGTACTGCTTCCAAACCAAATTGCAACGCAGAACGTAATTCTGTAGTCTTTTCATCACTTATATTTCTATAAAAAATATATGCAGCATTCCACCAATATGCCTGTTCGTCGGTACACAGTTTGCGATGTATATTTAAGAATGGTAAAATACGTGGTCTCCCATCATTGGAATTCTGTCCATTACCATTATAATTATCGCATGAATCATATTCAACTTCTAGTAGTCTTTTCGCTTGTAAGGTAGTAGCATATAGGAAAGTGTCTACATCTAACTGGTTGAGTGATTCCGCACCACAGTATGTTAGGTTTTGTGTTGAAAATGGTAAACGATTAAAGAATTTGGCACGTACATCTCCTAAATTATCATTTCCAATGCAAAGGTACGCTGTATGCTGCAATGAATTTGGATTCAAAAACTGAGCTATTTCTTCATACGTTTCAATATCAGCGTAAGTTGGTAACTCATAAACTGGCTCAGAAAAATCTGCACTATTCATAAGCATGGAACTTTTCTCTTTAATGCGCTGATCACTATTGCAAAATAATAGGGCAAATATATTACGACGCCATTGCTTTTCTGCGCAAACTTGACGCACTTGTGAAATCAAATTGTTTGTATCCGTCCACAAAGAAGTGTTTTTCGTATTATCTTTTACAGCATCATCTGCTGTAACACAGGAATGCAGTGTACGACCCATCTGAAAATTATTTTAAAAAATGTTTAAAAATAGTATTTATTTAAAAATATAGTATTAGTACTATTTAAAAATACCTGAACATTACGAAAAGCACCTTCTCGATGCCATAATTGTAACAATTGTATGCTGTTTTCATCACAGTGTTTAGTCCACGGTTGCTTAGTATCTGGCAGTTTAATTTGTACTGCCAATAACATTAAAGGTAATACCATGCGTACTGATTCCTTCCATTTATTTTTATTTTGCAATAATTCCCGCTTAAATAGCAATGATGTTGCATAAAGCAGAAACTGGCCACGATAATGGTTCATAAAGACATTAATTAAATCCGGCTTAGCTTTAAACTTTGCTGATAAAGTTGAGATTTTATATAGATTTTGATCAAAATTAAATAGCAAATTAGCAATTTCTGTATTGCCTGACGAGTTATTAGCTATTTCCGTGCAAGTAAAACTTAAATATATCTGCCGCTCCAGACATATAGTCAACAACAACCAAAATTCCCAGTTTTTATCAGTATTAGGCATTTGCTCGTACTTCATTAACATCAACCAAATCGTGTCGTACCATTCAGTATTACCAACAAGAGAATCGTTGAAACCCATTTCAACATTATATGCATATTTAAACGCCTCTTGTATATTATTCTGATCTAAGTAAAAACGTACAAGTCTAATACGAAGACCAATGTCTTTGGATTGAGCAGAGATTTCTTTAAGTATTATTATCTCAGCTTGACTATCATCTGCTTCATTTTCGCTTTTGATTAATTTCAAACGTAATGAAAATACAGCATCATGATGAACCTTTTGCGATTCCGCAAGTTCACACCAATGACGCGCCTTACTGGCATTGTATATATCATCCTGGATTAGCAAACTGCAAATAGCAATTAATAAATCATTCTGCTTAGGGTTCAGTTGGAGTGAACGCTGAAATGACTGCAAAGCCTTGTCTGGTTTCTTTAAATGTTGATAGCACTGACCAAGCAATTTGTATGCCTGGTCATTAGTTTCATTTACACTAAGATACAAATTTAAAAACTGTTCAGCCGTTAAGAACTCGTTTATTTTGTAATATTGTTTGGCAATTATATAACCACGCAAATTACGCTAAAAGAAAAAACAAAAAAAGTTAAATATATAAAAACAATTCTAACAATTATAAAGAAAATATATGCAATTTTTTAAATCAGTGATATCTCTTCATGCAATATAAGTAAATTAAGACTATGATCAATTGTTTTTTAATTAATGAAACTTGTTAAGAAAAATAGTTATACATATACCTGTACTACATTATAGCCTCGAAAAAAAAAATAAACAAAAATTAATTTGTAAAGGAAGTATACAAGGAAAGAAATGAGTATAGACTCACAAGGTATCAGAAGAATTGCTGCCTAAATAAATCTCATACACTTTGTTAAGAAAGAGATGGCTTGCGGAAAGTAGAGCTTTTCTTCTATAATATATTGTGTCCTTTAAACTTGTCGATCAGCTACAAAAAACAACGTCCATTCATTTAAAAAAAAATGTCTAAAGATATACCCTGAAACTGATTATACACAGACTATAGTAAAACTATTAAGTTAAGTTTAACATTAACCAATTAAAAATATGTAAAAAAAAGTATCTTACTGTTTAATTTGAAAAGTACTTTAATACGGGTTTATCTTATATTGATTCCAATTGTTAGTTCAAAAAATTGTGTTTTAAATGCTTACAAGGTTTTCATGAAATGAGACGAATCACACAATAATGTACGTGTACTACAATAATTGAACACGTATGAGAAGTCAGAGAGAAAGCATTTAGAACGACTATTTAATAAATCAGTGATAAATGAAAGATTACTTAAATGGATTTTAGTTCTTTTTATACATTGTGAAAAATAGGATTCTTTCAGCCCCTTTAAATATTCATTTTTTGCAGGGATTATTGATATTTTTCTATTATCAGAAATCTATAAAAATCCGATGAAGACAAAATTGATGAGTAACGTAAATGTAGTATTATAGTGAAGTGTATCAATACTTCGGTTACAATTAAACATTGACGCCAAAACCACTATTAGATTTATTCATAATAATTGCAAAATATATATGCTTAGAAGTGGAATTTTCATCTGCTGATAGTAAACTCGGTACCCATGTTGCTAAAAACATTTGCATAAACAATGTTCTTGCACTTGAATTTCAAGTCAAGCCTGAATCTCAAAACGCTATTATTACATTACGGATTTTAGCCACCATATCCAGAATTGTTAGCTTATTTAAGCGTCTTTGTCGGTCAACTCTTCAGCATCCTCAGTTCTCATACAAAATAATGGAACTCGGTGTACCACTACTGAATCATTCCAAATGATGAATTTATTACTAAATAAACAACCTAAAGTTAACAAAAAAAATATAACTTTTTTTAAACTGCGTTTATTAGAAAATGCAAGAATATTATATACATCCAAACATATTATAAAGAAGAATCCTTTTAAGAATAAAGCTTTTAGTATCATCCTTCATTTAGAATTGTTAATACAAAGCCAAGTAGTCAACACCAACTACAGATTAAAACCAAACAAGCCTTGGTATTATTACTCTAAGGCAAATATAGAAGATTTTTTTAAATCTTTCTTCCTTATCTATTTATTGTTTGACTATTTATTGTATCTTTTATTAACTAACCCAAAAAAAATAAAGGTTTGAAATCGGAGTTATCTTCGAAAAAATTTTATTGCTGGAATTTCGTCTTTTAACTTTAACTACATGTAATCTTAAAAGTCATGAGAGTAATAAGAAAGAAAATAAAATGGGTAAAAAGAAAATATTGATGTTATTGTTTTAGTAACCCGGTGAAAGCTATCGAGCAGATAACATAAAAGGAATTACAAATACTTATACATGAGGAGTTGAGATGTAGGTAAGTGATAGTAGTTCGCGAAGAGAGGAGATTGTTTAGAAGCGAGAGTGGATTATGAGTAGGTGAGATTTTAATTACAGTCAACCCGGGTAAAGGCGCAGTCAGTCAACCTGTATGCAGTTCTAATAGATAAAAATTTAAAAACCCTACTTAATCCGATTAATTCCAGGAACGACCGAATACACTCATCTACAACAATCTGGTTCACCACAACTTTTATTGGAATTTCACCGATCCACAAGAAACAGAATAAAATCGGTTACAACAGCAATATGTATCCAATTCATCATTCAAACTACTCGAATGCAATAAATTGTTGGGTTAACAGCAAAATCAACAATAAAAAACTATAAATTACTAGTGATGTTGTTGTAAATAGTAGTTGGACCTGGTAATCATACAAGATGCCAGCCTACTCGTAATAAAGGTAGAGAAGTTTGAATTGTCTAGAGCAAGAAAGTAAAGTTGAACATATCTGTGATTCTCTATAGTACTAAAGTTGTCATTAATTTTTTTTTATGACAGTCACGTGACAGTTTATATAATTATATTATTTAATCACGTAAATGCACATTTGTTGCAAACGCAAGTGCAACTCTGATATATTTCTTCTTATTTGGCACTACAGTCCAGTGAACCTTGGCCTCCTTGTATTAATAAGTATGGATTCGTGGCATAAGATTCTGAGTTTCATATACTATATGTACTGAAACACACATATTGATGAAAAATTAGTTCCAATTGGAAAAAATATTGAACAACAATGTCAGCATATTTTTTGTATACATTTGCAATTATATTCAGTCATATATCAAATATTATAATTTCACTTTTGAAAAAAAAAAAATATTCCTCTCCAGAATAGATGAATACAGTCGTCCCTACTTGTTGTCCATATAATTATTTCTGCTTCGCATTTATATTTGTCATCTGCCGGTAATAATTAATAAAAGAAACAAAACAATTGCGAATTCAGAGACGCACGATTGCGGCGAAAATTCGAGGCAAACACAGCGAAACATAACCTAAAAACAATTGCGGCATACATTTATTTTTATTCTAAAAATATTAGTTATATTATTCAAGTTCATAAAATCAAAATCTAAAATAATTTTTATTAAATTATTTCATTTCGAATTGCCTTAATAACATTACATTTTACCAAGGTTAGAGAATATATATGTGCAATACAAGAGCGCATATACAGGCAGACAGCCACATTATGCAGAAGAATTTGAGGCGCCGTTTTGCTGTATTTGCAAAATATTTATATTTACAACAAATGCATCATGTTGCAACTACGTTGCTATAAATTATTTCGATTATATAAGTATTAATAATATTTCATACTAACACACACAAATAACATTAATATATTTGAATATGTATAATCCTTACCTCCTTTTCGGTACGAATTTGAGACAATGCTTTTCGCACATATACATCGACTTCCTTTTTGGTTTTATACATCTTAATCGCGTTATCTTGCGTACCCAATTAATTTTTGGTTTTTATAACTTTTTCAATTTTATTAAACATGTAAATCATAAAATATATTGTTTGCAATATTTTACTGTATTAATACAAATATTTTTTCACTTAAAACTTCCACACTTTTCACAAACAATCTTGACGAGCGAGTACGACTTCTCAGTTATTTTTCGGCGGCATGAGCAGCTTTATTTCGCAATTGACTTTTCTTTCTATCTCGGATACTATTTTTGGCTATGTTCAATTTAAAAATCATAGATTACTTATATAGAACATGTATCAAAATTAAATATATTGTTCTTTGATGTTATTATATGAAGAATAAAAAAATGATTACTTAATATATAATATAAAATTGGATTCTATTGTTATACTTAGCCGTGAGTTTTCAAATTTATTTATTTATTTATTAACATCTTATAAAATTTTCACAGTGGAAACACCTAATTTTTATCTAATTTATCCTACTCGAAATTCTGATAAATAAAAACATTCGCTGCCATCAATTTACTCGAACTCGCACACGACCTTAATTATATTTCATTACTAATAAA